CACAAAAACACAAACATGCACCGGCAATATGGGCTTTTGTGAAAGCACAGATATGTACAAGAAGAGAGAAAATAAGGCCATGCTTGTATACATACTACTGGTCTCCTCATGAGTAGTAGAAGCAAGCACCAACCAGCCAAAAAGGCATTTTCTCCTCAATTTCGGTCTAGTCTGAGCACAATGTCGCCATAAACTGGATCCGGCCACCGTTGCAGAGTCTGGAAGAATGGCGCTCTAGTCAGGGTCCCTTCAGACGAGCCTCGCGGTTGCCAGGCGTCAAAAGTGACCACAAACCCGAAGGGCTTAGAAAGTGAAAACAATGATGCATGATGCAAAGAGTGCAAGCGTCGACTCAACGCCCTATCGCGTCATTCGAAGACTTCTTCCAACAGTAAATGCAATAGAGGCATAACGGTATCTTTATTCTCGGGAAAGAAGATAAGAAAGTGAAACTAATGAATAATGAGAGAGAGAGAGAGAGATAGAGAGAGATATTACAATCTACCTCCAGAGGTCGAGGCAGTGCTGCGAATCGGGAATTGTGGTATATACAAAGATAGTTGCCATGACAAAAGATTCGGATTCGACGCCGTCTGCCAAAGTAAATGAATTGTACAGAAGTGGTTTTGGCAAGACATGTGGCTGCGGAAGAAAGGGCGCATCAGAGAAAGGCGTAGACAGAAGCGAGAAAAACTATCACATCTTCTTTGGACAAAGGGTGAATGTTATCCTAAAATGTTGTTGCCGTAGTTAAGACGATAAGTGAAAGGGCAACGGTACAGGAGAGAATAGATAGTGCCTGCCATGTCGGTGATGCACACGCTGGTCGCATGACGACAAATGCAAGAAGGCAGGCGTAACGTCGTGCATAGGAGAGGCGAAAGGGTAGCAGAATGGCAAGAGAAGAAGAGACTGTGGGCGTTAGTTGGCATAGTGATCGAACGAGGACAGGTACTCGAGAGCCGCCTTGTAGCAGAATTGGTATTGGTCTTCAGACTGGATCATACTGGGTCGTTGGGTTCGCAGCATTCTAACGCTCTGGAACATGTCGACCACGCCTTCGTAGCGCATTCTATCGAGGACAATCGAGAGGGCCAGGAAGACCCCGGTCCGGCCGACTCCAGCGCTAGACGGACAAGCGAAAAGAGAAGAAGCCGAATGAGGATAAAGCATGTGAAAGAAGGAGACATGTTGAAGTCGGAGCAGAGTTTACATACTCTAAATTTAAAGAAAAAGCAACTTACAGAGGCAATAATAAATTTAATTCAATTTAATTTAGACTGACATTTCAGTAGCCCATTAATTATTATTATTAGACAAAAAGGATATTATCTACAAACCAGTGACCAGATATTTATCACTCAAGAAATGGCGTCAAAATATCATTCTTCCTCACTTTCAACCATATTTTACAGCCAATTTAGACCTTATCAGCACCAGAATCTATGACCTCCTATAAAAAATAAGCCAACTCAAGGTGGAGGCTATTTCACGATATTTTTTTGCCTATACTAACTATATTATCGTCCAACTTAATCTATGATCACTTACTATATTACCTATTTTAAATAAGTAGTATCAATTTATTATTTGCAAACGCCCTCAGGCGAAGTTTAATTTGAAAGACGATTGTCAAAAATTATGCTGGCTCATTGACTGATAACATGGGAAAACAACCCTTTTAGTTGTCTCTCTAGCAATACAGCTGTTTAGGATTTTCGGACCTGTCGGCTTGGAAAAGGTGATTCGATTGGTACCAAATGAAATTGGTTCAACAGAACTAGTAGGATCTAATAACCCAAAACGACCGCGCTGGCTTATACGTCGTCCGGCGCCAAGCTCACCTGCAATGCACAGTAATCGGTCCTTCCTGACCGAATTGTTCTTTAGTCTTGTGAACCTGTCCGAGGAATTCTATCAGCGCTTCACCGGTCTCCGGGACGCCGGCCTCAGGCCAGTCGGTGAACTGGAACTGGCGCAGTGTCCTCGACTGACCGTCGCGAGCATCGCTCAGCTTGAATTCGCGAAGCGTATAGTTGGGCATGTTGTACTCGACCATCGGATCAACCACAAAGTACTGGTAGCGGGCAGATCTCTCGGAAGGCCAGTATTGGTGGCAACGTTCCTGTAGTTCAGGAGTTCAATGGAGAGATACAAGAATTTTAGCAAAATAAATATTGACGATTGTCACTACTTTGCATATAGTTGCTGCCCTGCGTAGGAAAAAGTGTGCAAATAAGTGATAAATATTATCTATACTTTGGACATTTATACATTTCGTATGCTTCAATAGATGTCGTCGTGCTTTTAATTGAATGATCATGTTTGTCCTATTCATAAACACTTTGAGGATAGGTTATTTCACTTTTACCTAGTCTCTATGTGGTGATACAAATCGGAATTCAACCCGGATTCTATGAAGGTTATTTGAGCCATATTATATATTATTTTCATATTTGAGTAGAGTTTCGAGACTAACAGATATTCACCCAATTTCGTTTTAGGATATAATATATAATATTATTATATATACTAGATATAATATTACTATTAAATGTATAATAGTAAATATATAATAATATATCTTATATTCCATCCTATAGGGAATATATACTATT